GTGGGCATATTATAAAAGGCCCACAGCACAATGCAGTAGATTCCAAGTAAATCACCTTTTCATACTATAATTGTGTACATCATGGTGCATATTCCTAAAATACATGAAAACTTTACTTCAGTAATACACTTATTTATAATCTAGAGATGTTTGCTTAGATATAAATTTAACAAACTAGGAAGCAATATGTAACTGAACTATCAATACCATTAGACAAAAAATGAAAAAAAAAAGAAAAAACTCAGAGAATTAAATAACTAATGTGCACTGGGTGTGCAAACAGTCAGACAACAGAAACAATCAAGGAGCTACCATTTCAGAATGAATTAACAATCCCGCTGGGATGAAAGGCGCCCACACTGCTTAAAAACCCCAGCAGTGGCGCTGGAACAATGGTTACAAATCACTCGCTGCTCTTGCTGAGGGCCCCAGGTTCAGGTCCCAGCAGCCACATGGTGGGTCACAGCCAGCTGTAACACTAGCCCTAGAGGCACCAGCACCCTCTTTCAGCGTGTGTGGGCAATAGGCACACACGTGGCACATCTACATGTATCCAGGCAAACATTCATACACATAAAATAAAAATAAATTTAGAATACCCTAAGAAATAAACGACTATTACTGAATATTTTAATCATCAGTGGCTCCATCAGAACTGGAGTAAGCTCAGATACACTGGTGCTTTTTCTTGGCTTATAACTAAAGCCAAAGACATAAAAAAAAAAAAAAAAAACCTGCTTAAAAGCATCTTCATTACAAACAACAAAAATAAATGAGTCCTCTAAGTCCAAGAATCAGGGAGAAACAATAAAACTTCCCATTTTATCAGCACTAACCAGGTGCTTAGAATAATTGCAGATATTGAGCTAAATACAAAAATCAGACAAAGCCTAAAAGCCACAAAACACTCACTAGTAGAAAATATTTTGAAGCATTTTCAAGCATTGTCATGAACTGTACTCCTCTACATTGTCTCTAACGGGCATAAGCACTGCTTGTAGCCAGGGACTTATACTCTGTTCTTATATGCACAGTACCTAGTTACTGAAATATTTACTCTAGAAGCAGAAAGAAGGGTACATGTGGATTCACTAGTTACCAGCCTTTTCTATGAATCAAACACTGTAGCAATGACTTACGAAAACACAGTGAGCAAGACAACAATCCCTATCTTTTTAGCTTTTACAACAATTAGAGTAATAAGACAATTTTTTAAGTGGCAGTTAAGTTGGTGAATTGTCTTCCCTATTATTTCGTGACTCCATCTAGATTTATTTCAAATATGTATACATGTTAGGATTCCAACTAGACATCTTAAGAAACCAATTCCAGCGCCAGGAAAAGGCTCTATCTGTTGGCAAAAAAGACAAAAAGGGTACTGCATAATGCCTCCAACATCAGAAGGTACTCTTCACACTACAGGAGGAAGGTAATGATCAGTATCGCCCAGATACAAACCCTGAGCCCTACAGCAGTGACCTACGTACTTTTAGTGGCATAAATATTATAGGGGCAATCAACCATTGATTGTATTTAAAGTCCACTCCATAAGATGGAACCCATACCTAACACTGCTGAAGTAGCCAACAACCTGACACTTAGAGAGATTATGGGTCTAGAGGGGAAAAAACAAACCTGGTACTATTATCCTGCTAAACGAATATAACCTATAAATCAGTGCCTAGTTCAACACTCTTCAAATCAGCTTCTTTTTACAACAGAGGGGAATTAGCACTAAGACCCACAACTGGACAGTGTGAAGAGAGTAAGACACTCTGAAGAGCTGTTCTAAATGGATGTCTCATCAGGCCCATGGCCAGGGGTTGTTAGCTGCCACCCCACTCCCCAAAGGAACTCAATGGAATTTTGTAGTTTTTGGTCCCAGTTTGCTTCCTTTTCCTTTTTGTCATATTGGTCTTCTGCCTGTTTGTATTTTTGTGTGTGTTATTATCCTTTTATGCTTTTATTTTTCCTTAGAGAGAAAGACAGAGAAGAAGAACATAACCTTGGGCGGGTAGGGAAGTGGGAAGGATCTGGAGGGGCTGGAGAAGGGAAACCTGATCAGATTGTTATGGGAAGGACATGAGCAAGTCACACTGTTGAAAGATTTAAGGATTTGAGGTTATATTATGCTCTTCGCAAACCCATATTCGGAAGTGGGTTGAATTTATATCATCTAAACTAAGAAATGAGAATCAGTCTTTGTTAAGTAATCTCAGAAAACATTTATTCAAATTAATCAATAGCTTATCACTGCCTTTTGCAGGATCAATAGCAGAAATCTAGACTTGGAACACTAGATGGAGCTGTGAATCGCTTAAAATGTTGTAGTTGAAACTAAAACGCCTATTTTTAATTTTCATTTATTTTTAACATTTTTCTTTCACATATGTGAGACAAAGTGAGCTCTATGACTGACCTATTTTATCATCAATTGGTCAGATTTCCTAAGTCAAGACATAGGGAATCCAAATCCAAAGAGTTGGAGACACAAAGCTGGGAGTCCTGGGAGAAGAGGACAGCCAGAATTTAAAGAAAAGAGAAAAGAGATGCTAGGGCTGAAGTTGTACAGAAGGTTCCCCTCAAGTTTCAGCAGAGTATCAATCAGAACGTGTCAGGAAACTAGTGAACTCAGAGATCCACCTGCCTCTGTCTCCCCACTGGCCAGACTATACATTTCTGAACATACAAAGAATGCTTACCAAGATAGGCACATGCACACGCACACAGATAGACACAAACACACATCTATACATTTATATGTATACACTGATAACACAAAAGATTTAATAATTAGTTTGATTTAGCAACTCCACAAAATGCAAGTATATTGAAACATACATGCCATAAATATACAATTATTTTTAAATAAGTAAACACAGTAAATTGGAAAAATTCATAATGATTCCAATCATTCAAGTAATGTTATTTCACTATCAATGAGAACCTACACAGATCCTTGGAAAATATTCAAATATTTAATTTGGAAAAATTAAATACCTCATCACTAAACTATTGATAAACAAAAAGCACAACAATGGAAAATGTGGGAGTAGCCACCAAGCAATATTCAGGATGAAATTTCAGCATTAAATATTGGGGTATAAGGGAGAACAGTGACTGTCCATTAACCTCAGGTTCCCCTTAAGAAGCTAAAGGTTTAAAATAGAAATAACAAGAGGGTAGTGAGAATTAGAAAACAGAAAAAAAATCACAGAATTTTATTAAGTCTAGTAGGATCTTAGAGAAGATCGTAAAATTATGTTATACTAAGCTATCTGGATTTTAATAAAAAGATGAGTAACAGAAATTAAAAAGAATTTTAATAATTTCTACAATGTTTTGCCTAATAAATTTGACAAAAAGTTCATCAATTAAAAAAAACCTGAACTATATGCAAAAATAAAAATACAGAGTAAAAAAAATCTTAAGTATTTTAGGCCAACAAGCATTCACTTAATGAATCAAATAACCCAACAGAAAGTAAATACTATTCATCTACACAAACACTTAAGGAACAGTTAAAGGATCAGCTGTCACTCGCTCAGAGAGGCCATTACCAGAAATGAAACTACACACTAAAATCCCACCACACACTTTAAACAAAAATTTACATGTTATATTTAATAACCTATAAAATGTAAGAGTTGTCGCTTTTTCTAATTCTTGAACATTTCACATCATGCCAAGCTATCTTGCAGATAAGAGTCAAGTTTACATAGGAAATTCATTTGTTTTATATACAAACTATTCTTCAGCCTGATATTTTTTAAAGTACACCTTTGTTCTGACCGTAACTTCCTATGTGAGATCAGGTGTAAATTTTTCCACTTCTGGAATCTTGAAGACACTCAAGTTTCAGCTTCTCAGTCATTTCACACTCAGATTCCAGAAGAGTGACACTCAGCCCTTGGTCCCCTTTGTGGAGGGAGGTGTGGTGGCTCGTAGGGAGCACAAAGGGAATTTCTGTAGTGACTCCTAAGTTCTATTCCTTTTCTGAGGGTTTGGTTTCAAGGATGCTCGTTTATATATATTTCTGCTTTGTGGGCTTTTATAAATGTATAATGTATGTTATACATACAACGTAAGTTATCTAAATGAAACTATATATAATTTTATATTGATAATATAAGCCATCCAGAAGTGTTACTATAACTTTACTGAAGATAGGTGTAAAGAACTAAACACGAACAATGGAATGACAGAGTGTAGGAGCTTATTGCCCATAATGAGGGCGGTGGATAGTGTTTATTATTGTCTAAAACTCAGGCATACCATTTAAGTATACTAACCATCATCTCATTCCAGGAAATTCAGCACTGATCTTGGCCCAAAATACTTATGTGGGCATAAGTGAACCTATAGCATTCTTGAGGCGGGAGGGCAGTATTTTACTTGACATTATTAAAAGGCTATAAAAGATATGTTCAGAAGTAATAGTATATTAATTCACAAACATTTTTAGAATTGATTTCAAAAGAAGAAGAAATTCAGCCTTTCCCTCTCCTACTCCCTAATGAAAATCAAAGCTAAAAATGAAAGGTATGGTATATTATTATTTAAAAATAAACAACAGTTTAATAGGCATTTTGACTCATGAATAGCGAAGTAGACACCACTAGCAAGCAACAGAACACGAGCTGCAGAATAAATCTGTGAGTGCAAACATTTGCAAGCAGTTAAAAATAGGTATAACTTTTACAATTAAGATACACACAGCTCACTAGTGTTGTCAAGTTAGGGTGGCCTAATGCATACAAAGTAGACCAAAGATCATATAATCAAACTATCTGAAATATGCTCACTTATCAATTTCTAAATAAATCTGATTTATTTTTAACTGACATCTTAATTATCCATATTTACATCTGGAATATAACAACTTTTCTCTCTTTTAACAATGTGAGACAAACAAAATCCTATGATTATATATTAGCAAGGCCTTCTCAGCCTCTACAGCTGAAATGTCATGCCAATTACTTAATAATATTGAATTTTACCTTGTTTAATCTGTCCTTGCACAATGTTACTGGAAGTTGGAGGGGAACCCCTTGCCTTAGAAAAGTCTGGGGTACCTGGTCTAGGTGGCCTTTAAAAGAAGAAAGAAAAATTGAACAATTTTCCTGTTTCCAGAGTGATTCAAAACATCATTCTCTAGATGAAAAAGAAACATAAACAGAACATTTTCAACTTACTCTTTCAAAAAGATAACCATTTTCTAAGTTTTGTCCTTATTTATATTATTTATCTCAAATTCCGGTAAAATAATTACATGATTATGAAGTAGACAATACAAATTTTCTAACAAAAAAATTATAGTTTCTGGTAGTCTTAACATGTATTTTTGAACACTCCAATGAACTATAATTGAGAAGTAGAAACCATTCTTAGCCTTCTCTAGTCACTATTAACATCCTGGGATTGCACCCTACCCCATTATCATTAGCACACAGGAATTGATGGAACAATATACTGATCTGAAAAGCATTCAGCCATATATGTGGCAATAAAAAATAAAGAAATTTTGGAGTCTAGAAGTAAACTGTCTCATTTGGATTCTGTCTCAGCAACTTCCTATATAAAAATATTTACAGAATTAAGGACACTGAATTTTTGTAAAATAATTAGAACAGAGCATGACACAAAATAAGTACTATCTATGTATTTCTTAGGTTTAAAAAACTAATACGGTCAAATTTTAATAAAGTAAAATACTAAGTTATCTTCATAACTTTGGAAAAATGGAAAATAGAATTCAGGCTAAGTACTGTAAAAAAAAAAAACATCAAAACACTCTGCTTTAAGAGTTACTGTAGACTTTGGACTGTACTTAGGACCACATGCCAGAGCCAATCACTGAACACAACATTACTGCATACAGGTTAAGAGGAGAACCCTGTGAACAGACACACATTGAACTAAATGTCGGTTCCAACTTCCGGTAGCTATAAATGTAAGGTTATATTCACAGAGCTGGGAGGTGGCTCAGCAGTTAGAGAACACACTGCTCTTGCAGAGGACCTACCCACTGCTCTTCCCAGCACCCACTGGGTAGCTCACAGCCACCTGTAACTCTAACTCCAGGGTAACACCCTCTCCCTAGGCACCTGCATTCACACACGCACACACCCACATATAAACACGGAATTAAAAAATAAAAATTGTCATTCTCGGTGGCACACATCTTTAACCCCAACACTCAACAGGCAGAGTTAGGGCAGACTGTAAGTTCAAGGTCAGTCTTGTCTATGTCGATTTCCAGGCCAGTCAGGGTTATCTCAAAAAAAAAAAAAAAAAAAAAAAAAAAAATCATCATCTTAAAGAATAAAAATGTTAAAGATTTTATTTCAGGAGCTACCTTCTATGACCAACTCCTACATTGTAAATCAGTTTAAAATAGCTACTAAGTATATCCATATTGCTACTAAGCATATCATGTTGCTATAATTTTATTGTGTTTTAAACTAGGCATTTTAGAAATGTCTGTTTCACACTTTAAATGGGATATCACTAATGTGACTTAAGTGGGAAATTTGTGCAGAACAAAAAAGCAAAAAAGCAACAAATAGTAACAAATATAGAATATGGTCCTTTTATCTCGTTTGAAAATAAAGAATAAAATTAAGCTACATAGTCACACCTGGTTGGGCCCTTCTTCATGTGATCGCCAATGAAAGTTGCATTGGTCATACTCATTAAAGTATTTGCCAAAGATATGATGGACAAGAGATGTTGAGTGGTGACTGCTCGAGACACTGTGTAGGTTCCTTTTCCTACTCCCTCAGTTGTTGGCAGCTTCCTTCCTATTTCTGCTTTCCCATGTCGTAGTTTTCCAGCAGCCTGATTATAACCGGGAAGCATCAACGACATATGGCCTCCTCTCGATAAGAGGCCGAAGGACACTGTGCAGTGTGGCTTCAGCATTCCGAGGCGATCAAGACAAACTTCATCCAGAACTTCATTCAAACCCCAGGCATGAAGACAGGACATGAATAACTTTGCAGTATCCATAGTGAGATTGTATTCTAGTAAGGTCAGTGGCTTGGACTTGCTGGCCCGGTACTCAGGATCGCTTTCTTCCCTTCTCTGCCTCATTGCCTCCTCGTCATCCTCATCCTCGTCGAGGAGATGTTCCTTTATGTTCTCTTTGATAGTTTCCTTCACTTGCTGGAAAAGAACTGCTGCCCGCTTTCCAGTCAGAAAAGAGCCCCCTTTGTCTGAACTGCCAGATGCTTTTTGCAAATTCTCTGGGGAAATAAGTGCAGCATTCGGCCTAGAGGCTTCTTCAGTCAGGAGTTGAATAATCAAAGCTTCCACATCAAAGAAAAGCACATGGATGTCCGGGTCTGTTAGGTTTGTCTTTATTGCTTGAACCATCAGGGAGTTGTGAGAATATTTAGGTAAATTCCCCTGTAACAAATATTTTTTAGAAAATAGTTACAAATCAAAGTGTTTAATTTCAACATTCATTAATGAGCAATAAATAGCTGAATTAAAGTGCTTATGAAGCTGTCTTTTTAGGGCTTCTGGATCATTAAAAATATCTTTGCCAACCAGCAACACGTAAAAGATATGAACTTATGCGATTAGGAGAACTTTACACTGACACAATCATTAGAATGACAATTAATTAAAAACTGAGCATACATTAACAAAAGCTTATTGCTCAAGTGGGAGTCTCCCCACTCATTAAAATTGGTTTCAGTGACATTAGCAGACTCTGAAAGTGGCTGCACCTGGAGAAGATGCAGGTCCTTCAGAAGCACCACACATTGAAAGCCTTCCTTTGCACTTACCTTCAGTCTTCCGGCTTACCGAATTCCCTCTACAGAGGCACATTTACATCTTTTGGGTTTTAGAATGTAAAAGTATAGCAAACCTAACTGTGTTCCTTCTTCTATTTCTCTACTTTAGTTACTGTCCCTTCTAGCTAAATCCATTGAAAGTGGAGAGAATCTGGAGGGCAGGTCCTCCAGTTTCTCTGTATCTGACACTGCCTTATGGAGACAAGAGTGTATGCTGTATAACTCACTTGCGCAGTGCTTGTGGGTGTGCATTCGTATGTGTAAAATCCATACATGCCCATATATAAATGTTGCAAGAGAAGATGAAAAGAAATGTTGTGCCAGAATGTAAACAGCAATTATTTTTTCATGGACTCAGAACATTTTGTTCAGATTTTATATATATTTCTTAAATTGTATATAATTAACACATGCTATATTTGCATAACTATAAAATAAATCTATACAATAAAGCATAGACTTCTTCAGCCCAAATTCCAGGCCCATTTATAAAATCTCCTTTCAGCTTTAACAAACATGCTCCCGAACCATGCTTACGATCCTTGGCACACAGACCCATTTATTCTTCCTTTTGCATGAATCTTCCTTTATTCTCCTCTAAGTCCTTCTCTTCTACATGACCTTAATTCTCAATCAAAAAAACATACATGCATCAAATCTGTACCATGAATACCTGGAATCCAGATTTATTTATTTAAGTATTTTTTTGTATACGGGTATTCTGCTTACATGTATATTCACACACCAGAAGATGGTTTCAGACAGGTGTAAGCTGCCATGTGGTGCTAGGAATTGAACTCAGGACCTTCAGAGCAGCAGGGAGTGCTCTTAACCACTGAGCCATCTCTCCAGGCCCCTAAATATACATGTTCTACTTGTTAAATGTATCTCATTCGTGTTGAGACCAGGACTCTGGATTCTCCCAGGGAAAGGTTAGCCCACAATACATTCAGTTCCCTAACATTTTACACCTACCATGTGTCAGATACTCAGATATCTCCAAAATATTTATATGGATATTATTTTAGTTACTTATTCTGTGAGACAGTTTCAAAACATGGGCAAACTCCTCCTTATTCATTCTGTGCAACCAGAGAATCTAGCAGAATGAACAAGAACACTATAAAAAACTTACAAAATTATTCATATTGCTCATCAGCTCTTCCTGTAACAGGTACAACAGATTCCCCTAACTGGTCTCCTATCTCTATTTCCATCCCTCCTGACTGTGTTTCTAGCTTTAGAGATCATCAATAGCATTTTATAACTTGAGAGGAAAATCCAGGTTTCTTTGCAAAGCACAAAACATCCTCCAGAATATATTGCTCCTCGGGCCTTCATTTCACCGCTAATCGCTACCCCTTTAAATTAACACAACGTCACTTATCCTTTCCAGAAACAATCTCAAATTTTTGGAACACTGCACATATTTACACTAGGACCACATTCCTTCTCCATTTCCTCTGTCATCATTCACAAAATATCTCAAGTTGTTCACTGTCCAAAAATTACACAAAAATAATTCAAGCAAATGCTATCACAGCCTCCATTATATAAACTTCTTTGAATTGAATGATGTTTAAAGGAAGATGAAAACCTTTCTAAATTATACTTAGATGACCTAAAGAATCTAGCTAATATGATAAAGTTATACTATTTAACAGTCAATTCAAAACCAAAGGAACATAGCAGAGAAATCGATCTCAGGTGATTTACAGGGAAGCCCTCATAGAAGAGCGAACTTGGCAAACAAAAACACTCATAACGGAAAGAAAGCAAAATGTAGAGAAGGAGAGTGACGATGAAGATCACATGGTGGATAATGAAGAACCCACGGGTGGTCAAGATGAAGAACGGAGGCCACGGTTCACTAAGAGCTCACACCATCACACTGAAACTTTCAAACTTTATGTTGCAAACCAGAGTACGACGAGAGCAGAATCATGAGGAGTTTGGCTGAAATACAGGTTCCTGGACCTGATTATCACACCTGAATTAGTATGTAGGAATGTGTAAGAATCTACTTCTATTAAATATATTAAATATATTAAATATACAACTTTATACAATAAGGTCGGCGAACAACTATCCAAATGAGGGAATCGCGCAGCCAGATGCAGTACTGCTAGCTTGAAAGAGACAAGGGCAGGGTCATGAATATGAAACAGGAGGCAGCGGAAGGCACACAGATGAGCAAAATAAAGGTGCAATAATCCCAAGAATGTGAGCGACAGGACAGAGAAAGGACCATCCTTGTTCCTTTCATTTCTCCCTGCTCTGTTTCACACGTTTGCCTTTCAAACAGTGAACATGTGATATCAGACACTATGTTTAGTGCTTTGTACTTATGAGCACTAAGTGAATCATGCATGAACTTATATATATTATATCCAATATAAATTCAATCAAAAAGTATTATTAATAATCACATCTACTATATACTACGCTGTTGCTATAGCTTCGGAGCGATTCTAGTTATTAGCACTAGTTATGTCCCCAAAATACCACAATGCTAGGTACACAGCTCTAAAAATAGATATGAAGGAATACATAACAACAGGTAAAAATGAAAAGGTCTTCAGGGTGCTCCTGAAGATAATGTTCTTGCAACTTTCTTTTAGGAAAAGGAGACTAAAAACAACATAAAATTAAACAAGTTTGGCTAGGAAATTACTGAAGTAGTAAGAAGGGCTAGAAAAAAAGACAGCCAAGAGGAAAACACAAGGTAGACAGACTTCAGCTTGGCTGGTGTCAGCCACACATGTGCCCGTCAGCACCTCCAGCTCTGCAGGCATCTGTATCTCTTTCTGATGGTGTTCCAGCAGACAACCACATGCTCACAACGAGAAGATTATCTAATTAATACCATGTCTGTACCTGCGCTTGTAAGACTCTTTTTTACAACCTCTCCTAGGTACTGAATGTGTTGCCTGTGACAAAAACTGGATCTAATAGCAGTCTCACAAAAAGAGCGTAAACAATAAAGAAAACAACACCACCAAGACAAAATATGAAAGAAAAACAAACAAACAAGAAAACAGAGTAAGGCTGAAGGGAAAGGGGAGTGAGAAGGACTCAGTGCCAACTCTCCAGCACTGAGATTATGGGCACTGCCATGACCAGCAGCGCATGGGCTCAGGGATCCAAACTCATCATCACCAATTCTACCGATGTAGAAAAATTGTCACAACAAAAAATAGATGCCCACCAAACTTGAGAGAATGATATTTTAGCTAAAGGTAAAGAAATGACTGAGTTAATCCCCTTCATGTCTGGTTTTCTAGCATGTGCTGCTAAGATGAGCTACAGGAAAAGGAACAAAAACAGGTAGTAAATTCCAAGGTTTTCTTAGCTTTACAAAAACACAGGCACACCTGGGAACAGACTGATTCATTCATCACTACATACTCTCGACAATTTCAAAGCTAACTAATGAGGAACTCTGAGAAGGGTTGTTCTGAAGCATTTATTACAACCCCCGGAGTGTGCATGGACAATTCACCTTAAAGTCATCACAGAGCAGAATTAAATTCAGTTCAACAAATATCTGTGGAGACACCTAATGTGTGTGACATGCCTGGGAGAAAACAAAGCATTTGCCCTTAAGAAAAATAGTTGAAAATCTACTTGACAAGAGCTACAAAGTAAAGTTAAATTACAAATGACTGAGTCTCCAATATGCTAGTAAATGCAGTTATACAAATATCTATATTCATATAACAATCTAGGACACAGATTTATCTTATGCTTATTTTAAGTATCATACTTACTGTAATTTACATTTTCTACATGGAGAAGTACATATTTGACTGTGTGAGATTCCTTTTGTTTTATTTTTGTTTTGAAACAGGTTCTATCTATGCAGCCCTAGCTGTCCTGGGATTCACGGAGACCCACCTGCCTTTTTAAAACCTCCATAGTGCTGGGGTTTTAAAAACATCTGCCACCATACCTGGTACCATTTAAAATCTTTAAAAAAAAAGAAATTTAACTTAAAATATAACAGACTGAAGAAATAATGAATTGATGATTCATAACTGATAGTGAACAAGAATATTAGCTAAAATGACCTCGCAAGGAAAACAACAGAGCTGTCATGTTGATATCAGGGTTCATCCACACATACACGAATCTTGGCACATGCATGTCAGATGTGGTAGACACAACAAATGTTCAGTGGAAAAAAATGTTGCCTTGTATATATAAGTTTTCATCATTTTATATAACTGAACATATTCTAAATAAAATATTTGTTGAAACAGCTGATAGCGTTGTCTCTGAATACCAATATTATGCTCGAAGGGTCTTTAATGAGTTTAAGATTTTAAGTGTATTCCATTTTATCCACTGACTACAAGAAATTTTACTCTCTTACCATTCACTTCATTGATCCTGACTTGAAAGCTCACTTATTGTGAAATCATTGTTCAATAACACAGTTTTCAATGCTATTTTTAAATAGACTAGTGATTTATCATTCTTCTTCTATCAAATCTATAATATATAATCTGATATAGGTTTTATCTAAAAGTAAAGGTGATTTGTACTACCAAGTATTGTGCTAGATGATTTTCATATCAAACGCAAAGCAGAAACATCGGCTTG